CACTCTCAGGCCTAGACACATGTGCAAGAGGCAATACTTTGTTGATCAGATAGTATTCACGTGTCATCACAAAATGCTTCACATACTGCAATTTTAGTCTTGAAGCAGACTGACCCCAATTTATTCTTAATGTACATATATCTATTATAAGACTTACACTCTTTCACCACTTTGCACTGACCATTCTCATAAATGACACACAGACTAGGCAGCTCTATTTCTGCTAGTGTAGCTCTTCAGTTATTTTCACTTTTACAAGGACTAAGCCTTTAGTTCTCCTTCTTGTGATACCTACAGTGAAAAAACAAAGGCTATATTTCCAAAGAACTAGAAATAGGCAGTCTAGGAGACATGAAATAGGAATAGAAGTACTGTCAGCATGATTGTGCATCTTCAGAAAGAAACAGATTGAGATTAGATTATATTTTCTCACTCAGTGTGCAGTAGAAAACAATTGCCTGAGCTCCATCTCCCTGCAAGAACACAGCTTCAGTTGCCGTCAGTCACTTTTATTGTGCCATGTACATCCAAAATAAATCAATAAACCATTTCTATTTGACTCCTTGAAATACAGCAAAAAGTAGTTTCCTTTTTCATTGGGTATCTGAGCAAGCTACCATTAGAAATATCTGCATTGGAGGTTTATGCTCTGTGATGGAGAAACAAAACAGAGTAGATTTCCGAAGACAAAGAACACTTACCTTCTGCTTTCCCCCCAAAGTGAGGCAGCCACCTCTAAATTGCATAGTATGGGTATAAGCTGCAGGACAACATGCATGCTTCTCATTTTGTAGCTGAATAGACAAGAATTGCCGTGACTGAATTTGTAATTTCTTTATTTGTTCCTTTTGTTATTTATTACCAAGAGAACAAACAAAAAGCAGTGGTCACAAAACAGTGCCAATTACTGGCCAAAACTGCCTTATGGTAAATGCTCTAAAGTCCACTTTGCAGAAAATTCCACTTTTTCCTGCATGGAGACTTGGAAATAGTGTAAAGTAGTTTCAAGATTAAAAACAAACCATTTTTGTTTACTAGTACCTTTTAAATATCGGGAAAACATTTTCTATTTAATTAGGGAACAGTTAACTGCCTAGTAAAAAGCAGTCATAGCAGTGACTCATGTGAGGAACAAGTAGTTCCTAAAGCAGAGCTGTTTACAAGAGCAATTTCAGCATCTAACATCTTTGGAATCCATCTTTGGAATAAAGTCCCAAGATTCTTTTTTCTTCTTCCCCCAGCCAATATAAAAGAACACCACACAATTTTTTGTTGTTTTGAAGGAACCTAAAACTCCTAGCTTTCATTGTCACCAAAACCCAAACCACAAGCTAGCTCTTTAGAAGGGCATTCCTATTCAGTGGTTTGCTGTAATCCTGATTTAAGGCATCATGTGCTATACACAGTCACAAGACAGAAGTAACTCAAATAACCTGCTGTTTAGCAGTTAAGAATTAAGTATCTGGATGCAAGCTTAAAATAATCATCTAGTATAAGTCTATTGCAAATTACCATGGGTAAGTAAAAAAAATTAATTTTTTCTGTTCCCCCCTCTTTGTGGCAGGGAGAGGGAAGGGTGCAGAATAGGGCAGGCAATTTTTTCCCCTATTCAGTCCTTAATTTGGGATAATTTCATTTAAAGGAACTTAAATCTGATGCTGCCTTAGTCCAGCTTGATGAGTCCGGTTGCACTCAACTCATTTGTTGAGCAAGAATGCAAGACAAACACTTGTAATACTGTATTGTTTCATCATATCTGCTTCAACTGATGGTATATATACCACCACATTTCATGGTTCTTTAAAACAGACTAAATTAGAGCAAACAGCTATTCAAAATAAGCTAGCAGACCAGCAAGCATCTTTGGCCAGCCTGCAAGAGGTCCTGCTAACCAGCTCTTAGTGATCATTCCAACAGCTGTTTCAAAACTCCAGCATAGTAGGAATGTTAATTTTAGCTTGACCAGCAAATGGTCATTTAGACGCTTAACTCAAATGCTGGCAAACATGTTCCTTCACTCAAGCACCAAGACAGTCAATTGCTTTTTTAGTTATAATAGTATCTTTGAGTACTAAATCACATGTTGCCATGCAATCAAAAAAGTAAAAAAAAACCCAAACCCCAAAAAACCCCAAAAAACCAACCAACCAAAAAAACTGCAGTGATTCTCTATGAAGCACCACAAGACCTATCTTTCAAGCTAGGTACCAACTCCCTTTCAAGGAGGTGTTTTCAGTCCTTCAACCATACAACTCAAACAGTATTAAAAGTAAGCAAACAAGCACCTGTTCTATTTATTCAGTGATAAAGCAGGCTGACAGCTACAGGTCTGTCTCCAGTACTAATGGCTAGTCTGAACCAGTAACTTTCTAAGCGATTTATTCTTTTTAGCTATCTGCATTAAAGGAGTTGTAAAATTTGTTCTGAACATGAGCTAAATGTTCTAATTAGTTTTCCCAGCATCAGTTTAGACCTTCTGCAAAGTTGGAATAGACAAGTCAAATTAATGAAACTTCTGAATGAAATGCAATTTAAGTATCCAGCTTCCATGGTCCTGCAGATGGGAGCAAGAAAGCATCTTTAGTAGCAGCAAACTCAGTTTTGGGACAAGCATCTAGTGAGAGTTTACTAAGTCAGCTGGGAATTTTATTTTTTACTGTGGAACTGCATTTATTGAACAGGCCTGATGCAAGAAGCTACGGAAAGACTTAAGAGTTTCCTATCAGACAGCTATAGTAAGAACCTGTGAGAAACAATTCTTAGCAGGCTTTGAATACCTAATGTCAACTAGACCACAAAACTGAGTTATGGAGGACAGAATCAACAGCCACACTAATGTTTGGTATGAAGAGTTGCTTTTGTTTAATGTCATTAGGTAACATCACTTGAGATATTACATTTTTATGTAACAGTGTAACATTCATAAGTTTCCACATTTCCAGTTTGAGACAAATACTTCAATTCATAGCTTGTTTTGCATTACAGAAAGTGCAAGAGAGGTTTATATACAAGACTAATTGCATGACTGGCTGAATTCGGTACTAATGCTGTATTCAAGTTGACTTTATTAGGTCTCCAGTTCAGCAATTGCTTAGGCATTTGATTTAACAATACCATTTCAAGTTTATACTTTGTATTAACAGTAAAACCTCTGACACATCAGCCATCACCACTGGCCAAGAATGTAGTTGTTAGTCAGTTGTAACCAACTGATTTAAAGATTTGTAAGACGTTCCTTGGAAAGGGCATGTTTTTCAAGAGATGGGTGACTACCACACATTAACAGCATCTGTTCACAAGGAATCTAGGCACAGAGTGAAGCCATGATTGTCTTTTTGCTTTCCAACATACTGGAAACATGCCACACTATACCATATGACAAGTAAAACTGAGCAACATCAGGGACATTGTGAGATACACGCAAGAAGCCCATCTGCTTGTTCCATTTGTCTGCCAAGCCATCCTAGTAGATTTCCCTCCCCGAAAAAAGCCATATTAGCAAAGACAACAGTTAGTGTCCAGGACTACCTTAATGTTCTGCAAGAAGTGTTTCAGCTTATCTGACCCTACAGTGTAGGCCTCTAGTACTCGGGACTCCAGCAGTTCTGTTATAGACCCCACAGTTAGTTATTACACATCTATGGCAGAATGGTATTTTTACTTTGAGTTCAATAGACAAGTATTGGATTTTTTCTTCCCCTACCATACAGTTTACACCTTTGTGGCTCAGAGACCAAGTCATATGTCCAGTCACCAATTAGAAACGCATAGAGTCCACTTAACTTTACAACTGGCTGCTGTTGTGATAACAGGCAACTGACCTAGTTGTTTAAAGTGTGGACTTTTAGCTACTAATTCAGTTCCCTGATGTGCAGGCAACACTTCTTCCCCAGGTACATCCAGTTCCTGTATTTTGGGACAGTAAGCACTACATAAAAAGGAATTGTAGTGACCATGTTTACAAGACACATGACTTAGTGTTGCTAAGCTCCTCTCTGGAAGATTGCAAAGAACTAAAGTAAAGTTACCATTCACCAGTTTGAATTTGGGTGTCCAGCATGAGTCCAGCTCTACATTTGCTTTGCCCTGAATTATCATCTTCACAGCATGTTCTTTGAGGGCTCATGTTTCAATCCACCTGGGCATGTTTTAGATTACAGACATCATGGAACAGCAGCAAGAGTGGCAGACAGCAAAGTGAAACATGTAGAAAAATCATGTTGAGAAGAGGTCCAGTTACTACTCCATTTGTCCTTTCCTGGTTATGCCTAGTATGATGAAAAGGACTTAGGGTTAGGATGGCTGTAAGTTACAGTTTTATTGCTTAAACTAGCTTAGAGCCACTCAGAACAAAAACTAAAGCAATAAATAGCAAGACTTGTCTTGTTAGAAGCCAGACCGTATTTCAGGGGAAGACTTAGAGGTGTGGCAGTGGAATAGATTTGCTAGTTTGACAGTTCACATTCTCTAGTCAAGGGTACAAAAGTTTGAGTTACATTAGTTTCCAGTAACAAAAACTCTCATAATAGTTGTTATTCTGTTTTTACACCAATTCACCCAGAGTACAAACCCACAATTATTTAGGGGATTAAACTTCAGAAAGTTGTATGGGGCACTGTGTGTTAACACTCTCCTAAATAGATATCTGAAGGTATTTAGTGAGCCCCTTTGAAATTTATTTGCGGCATGTATTTGCTTATTAACTTTCATCAAGGAAAGGAAATCTAGATCTATTGTGGCCTTGAGATTTAAGTCTGTGGAAGAATAAAATCTGTATTTCTAAAGTGAAGCTGGCTAGGCTTAGCCAGAATGCAGCTATGTACAAGTCTGTGTAGATGTACTTGTACTCTAGAAGTGTTCTTCTAGGGACTGTTTGCCGTACTTTAGAGGAGCATTAGAGCTAAGCCAGTGTAGTTTTTAGCCAGCTCTTTACCAAAGGTTTTCTGAATCAATTTCAGAGAATGAAATAGGTTTCCTTGCTGGTGGAAGACTTACCTGATCTATGCAAATGGGTTGCCAAAAGGATCACCAAAAGGGCCAGAAGGTGGTTTCTGAGATTTCTAAGGAAAGAGAGATCACAGGCTGTTACTGGGTTTCCAGGTTTACCCTGTGTAGCTCTATCTGCTAGTTCCTGTTCCAAACACCGTCTGGAAAGAATACTGCAGAGTCCCTGCTAAATACACATTACCTGTACTGCTTTAACAAGAGAAAAGGGCTCTAAAGCAGTGTTAGCAGTTATCCTAGTCTGAGGCAAGGTATCTTTCAGAAAAGCCATGTGTCCTTACTGAACACTCTTTGGAGCAGAGCCCATATAGCCATGATGAGGTCTGTTTTAGCCAAATGCTAGATCTCTTAGGATCCAGAGTTTACACCAAGGGCTTCAAGTACTGTGTCCCAAATGGAGCGATCTGGTTAAGCCACTTCTTCCCACAGGGGATACTGAACATGGGAGCCTCCTATTTGTTCAGCAAGAGAGCTGCACAGTCTGCACTGCTCAGTCTACTCCACAGAAAGTTAAGTATAACTGAAGTGGAAGACTTCTGCAGCTACATTATTTTACAGTCTTTTGTAGAAGCTCCCAATACTGAAGAACTTCCTGCTAGGGCTTGCAGATTGGGGAACTGGTTATGGGCCCAAGCCAAACAGAATCATACTTTGTTAGCCTTCTTGCAACAAATGCCTTCTGTTAGATTAAATATTAGCCTCAGACATGCAATAAGTTTTGTTCCATGGCCTCTAAAGCCAGAACTAAGTCAGTGCTCAAAAAAACAGGCACTGTGTTTCTCCTGTTAAGAAGAAAGAAGGGTTGTATTTTTTAGTGTTGGTTTGGATTTTCTTTTTTTTACTACTTACAGATGAGTCACTGAAAAGGTCCATTTTAGCTTGACTTTCAAATAGGCCATCAGCTGGCAGCACACTTTGGAGAACAGGCTTTGGTGGTTCTAAGGAAAAGAGATATACTGCTATAATCACTTAACAGCTTTAACAAGTACTCAGCTCTGCCTGCATAGCAACACCAAAGCTCATCTAATTACATACACAAAAAACCCCACACAAGTCGCTTTGAGTGACCCCACAATTTTATCTCTTGCTTGTCCCTCACTGCACTTCAGCTAGATGGGACTTCTAACATTGTATACAGACCTAGTTTACCTCATTCTAGTCAAGTATCTTAGACACTAGATGTCAGTGTTTGGCCACTAACATTGATCAATTCTGTAACATTATTAGGGGACACAGTCCTTCAACCCTCTGTTTCAGTAACCATTAAATCAGATTTTTAGTTCTATCAGAAAGGACTACTGAACAACCATCCCAATTCCTGAGCAGCTATTGAAGCAGAAGAAAAAAAATTTACCAGTCATTTTGGCAGACAACTTGCTAGCTTCCATGTCATCATGACCTGTACTATCTTGAGAAATGTCTACTTTACTACTAAAATAACTGCTGAAAGCTCCAGAAGCACCTGAAAGGCATTGCTGCTCTCCTCTCCTTGCTGGTACAGCAGGTGGCTTTGTCAGCTGGAATTCTTTAAACATTTCCTTGACTTCCTTCATCTCTTTATCACCAAGTGGATCCAGATCAACAAAAGCATCACTTTCTTTCTTGAGCTCCTTCTGAGGGGTAGTTCTAGGTGGTGGCGGAGGTGGGCTAGTTGTCGTTGGCGTGGAAGACAGTACAGATGGTATCTGAGCAGGTAGTGTTGACGATGGGAGCGCACTACTCTGGAAGGATCTTACAGCACTGGATGGCTGCGCCCATGAAGTAGATGGAACTTGTGCTTGATGTGCCCAGAGAATAGGGGACTGAGGGGCAGTAGGCTTGTTCCAGCTTGGCAGTGTTGGAGTACTAAAGGCAAGTGGTTGAGTAAATCCTGTAGGCGGAGCAGATAACATAGATCCAGGAAAGACTGATGCAGCCTGAGTGAAGGGAGGTGACTGTGCACTCCATGGCGATGGATTTACTGGCAAGCCACCTGGGGGAGAGATTGTTGTTACACAGCACTCCAGTGACCTGAAGACCTCAAGCAAGAGTGTATCAACTCTGAGGGTACCCACAAAACATTTTTCATGTACTGTTTGCAAAAATGTGTTGATTTATACTTAAAAGTCAAGTTCTTGGGGGTGGGGGAGGGGAGAAGGAGGTTAACATTTTTTACTTTGCTGCATTCCAGTCCTGAAAGAACAGAATTGAGGTTGATGTAACAGAGGAACATACTTAGTTCTAGCACAGAAGTGACAGATGCATTTGCCATATAGTTACTTCTGTGTAAATTATTATTAAGACTCTGCAGCAGTGTAACCCTAGCGTCTCAAGTTGTGCTTGGCTTACTTTAACCTTGTGTACCTGAAGCAGCAATCTGCTGTCAAAGTTTAAGCAAAAACCCTGTTCCAGTTAAGGATGCAGAGCTTAGGCCTCTATTCACAGAACTTAATAGTTCAGGGCAGACAGAGGAACTTAATAGTTTTAGGGCACATGGATCAAAGGACAAGGCACTACACATGAAGTAAAAGAAAACTAGAACCCTGTTTTAGTGTTACCAGGTATTTTAGACTGGAGCAACACCTTCACTTTGTGAACTAACCTAGACAACCCAATGGAGATGGTATGGTAAGACTGGTTTTGAAGAGGTCCAGTGAACTAATTGGCACAGGTCCTGTTTGTGCAACTGAGGTCAAGCTAACACTTTCTGTAGTTGGCACAAAGAAGTCTGAGCTAAATAAGTCACTCGATGCAGTCTAGAAAGAAAAAAAAAAAGCTTTGTGAGATGGCATGGCAGAACACATGCTAGCATGATCAAGACTCCCTAGTCCAGAGCTACAAGCTTTTATTTCAGCTAGAGCAGAGCAGGGAGCTTTGATGTATCCTTTAGAGACCAAGTATAAAAGAGTTTCAAACTTCATTATGTTCATGCCTACTGAGATGCATGGCATTAAGTAAGTATAATATACAGTAGTCACAAGTCAACAGCAAAGAATAAGACTTAAAGTAACTGAATTATTTGTCATCATAATAAGCTTCCCTCTGCCCCCTACCCCTCTGAACATTCCTGCTCAGTCTGCAGTGACCCCTGCAGTTCTGGCAATGTCAGCAACAGTTTTGCATCATTTGAGTGCAAGACAAATGCAGTTGACCCAGAGCCACCCTGTGTCTAATAAGGCAAGTCACTGAGGTTGCCCTCAGTAGGCAGATACTGAGAAACTACACAGGTTTCTGTAAGCTAGTACTAGTACCTCATTGTTATGAAACCACAGGTTGATGGGCATACAGCTATCATAACAGTTTCTGGCATTTTATCAAGTGTCAATATACATAGCAGCATACTTACCAGACCTTTACAGAAGTATGAAAGCATTAAGGAAGAGAGTATATAATTTAGTGACCATAGCTACTATGAAGCATTCATTAATGTTAGAATATATCATGGCTGCAGAGAGGTTAGGGTAAGCATGGCAGGTAAAAGAAGTAGATGCGTTGTGAAGCTATTTAGCTAGTTACACAGTATGATGAAAGAAAAGCTTCTTTCACCCAGATTCTCCCAGTAAGAGCATGCATATCACTTTTTTAATGTTGTTCACCTTGACAGACCTCCTTCCTCTTCCTGGCTTGGTACTTTGTGGTGGTGGGCTAATTGTTATAGACTCATGTGACACAAGCTGGATATTGCTTTCAGAATCCAGCTTTACTCCATTCTGCAGAGATACTTCTTTGGAAGGACCTTCCACAAACAGGTTTGATGGGGCTTTAAGAAAGCCACTTTGTTCTCTCTCTGGTACCCCATTTGGAATTCTGGCTGCAGGCGACTTACTCTCAAGTGGCCACTGGCTTGTTAGTGCTTCTTGTTTGCCAGTTCTATTAGAAATCTGGTCAAACTGTTTACCAAAGTAGTCAGTATCACCATTTGAAGCACCATTACCCATGGGTGTCAAGGTACTCAGACTTTCCTTCTTCCGATCAGGAGATTTTAGAGAACCAAATGAAGGCAGTGCAGATTGGTCTGGCTGTGCAAAAGGATCATCACTGAAAGGGTCTGGGTTAGGTGTGGGAAAGAAGCTGAGACTGGCAGAGAAAGAACTCTCAGGCAAGAAGGGTGTCTGTGGCTTTGGTTGTGGAAGAGAGGTTGTGATGTCATTCAAGAAGAGATCCTCTTTTGTAAAAGTCTGTTTGGTCTCAATTTCAGAATTTAGATCCACTAACAGAATCTCTTTAGCTTCCTATTTGTTCAGAAAGAAAAATAAAATTAGTTTTATGTAGGACTTGCTGCATAGTACACAAGCTTGATCCTAGTATCCAATACATTATACTAATAAGTATTCAATGTCACAATGAAGTTGCACTAAAGCTTCCTCTTATAAAGTCACTGGGGCAAGCACTGCTGTCTGTGGTCAAATCACAGCTACCTAGTTACAGAAACTCAATGTTAAAAGCACCTCTTCTAAGATCCTTTAGTTAAATATCAGATACTTATTCTACAGCCTAGAGACTGTAGAGTCATCAAGCACTAATTACACCTAGGCTTTCACTGGAGTCAGGAACCCCTGTTTGAATTCTAGTCATTTGTTTTGACAAGTTGTGAAATCACACTGCCTTAGTGTGACTTCAAATTGCAGTCTCAGCTTCAGAGTAAGATTGGAGAGCTATTTGACAGTGGAAGATGTTAACATGCCATCTCTCCCACCAAGCAGGCAGTAGAAGGGTAAGACCTGGTCACTAGCTGGACTGACAGCACCAATTGGATCATGGCTGATAGCAGCTTACAGTGCCAGAATAAACTGGTAGGATTTTGGGGGTCATACTGAGCTATGACAAGGTTTATGCACACTTCTGTCCAGTTGGACCACATCTTGAGCTAGGGCTACTCATCTAGAATGGCCACAAGTCCACTCTGAGGGACTTAAGGATTCACCTGTCCTTAAAATGAACTTCAGCTTTAAAGGTCTTTAGCAAAGTTTCTGTAATAGCTTTCATAGTAGCAGAGGCATGTACTGCTAGCACATATTTCTAAGACATCTGACTAGAGAGGTGGGCCCATGTGAAATTCATGAAGTTCAACAAGACCAAGTAAAAGGTCCTGCACCCGAGTCAGGGCAATCCCAAACATTGATACAGACTAGGCAATGAGTGGGTTGAGAGCAGCCCTGTGGATAAGCACTTGGGAGTATTGGTGAATGGAAAACTGAATATGACCCAGCAATGTGTGTTCACAGACAAGAAAAGCCAATCACATTCTGGGCTGCACTAAAAGAAATGTGGCCAAGTTGAGGGATGTGATCCTCCCCTTCTGCTCTGCTCTCGTGAGACCCTACCCAAGTACTGTGTTCAGCTCTGGGGCCCACAGCATAAGAAAGACATGGACCACCTGGACCTGCTTGAGCAGGTCCAGAGGAGGGCCATGAAGATGATCGGGGGCTAGAGCCCCTCCCCTATGCAGACAGGCTGAGAGAGTTGGGGTTGTTTAGCATAAGACAAGAGAAGGCTCCAGGGAGCCTTCCAGTACCTAAAGGAGGCCTACAGGAAAGATGGGGAAAGACTCTTTATTAGCAACTATAGTGATAGGACAAGGGGTAATGGTTTTAAACTGAAAGACAGTAGATTTGGATTAGATATTAGGAAGAAATTCTTTACTGTGAGTGGTGAGACACTGGAACAGGTTGCCCAGAGAAGTTGTGGATGACCTGACCCTGGAAGTGTTCAAGGCCAGGCTGGATGGGGCTTTGAGCAACCTGGTCTAGTGGAAGGTGTCCCTGCCCATGGCAGGGGGGTTGGAACTAGATGACCTTTTGGGTTTCCAACTCAAACCCGTTCTATGACTAATAATATAGGATTATCTGTCACACAGTCTCAAGTGAGCTCTGCTGGCTAAGAATGACATTAGCTACTCTACTTAGTAAGTAGATACTATTATAGCCCTAAGACACTAGTACACTGATGATAGCTAGACAGGTGTCTCGGTGAAACCAGAAACCAGGACTAACAAAGTAAAACCAAATCTTATTACTAGGACTAGTTTGCTCTCAAAGCAAGACTTAATACAACTAAGCTAGATTCTACTTACTGTGGGACTGCTTACATCAGGAGGTGTTGACATATCCCCAAACAAGTCCATCTGGTCAACTCCCTTCAAGCCAGAAATATTGAAAGAATTTGTATCTGTTAGAGTTCTTGCATGAGCAAGAATCAAGCATTATGAACATCTAGTGTAAACACATGTATAAATACTGCCTTTTCCACACAATGTGGAGACAGACAGTTACGAACTCCTTAATGGCATCAGCATAAAGTTCAGAAATTTAACCTACCGGTTTCATTTTGTCAGCCTCATCAGCAGGTAGTGCTATGCTACCATTCTGTAATAGATGGATAACAATGTCAGCAATAATTGGAATATCAAAACTTGCCTTAAGCAAGGGACTTGCAAGCTTCAAAGAGCAAGCGATGGAAAGAGGAAGTACAAGGGAGATCACTACTTATTATTAGTTCCGTAGGCCCCTTTTACTCCCATTCCAATGTAATTGGGCATCTGACATTGCCTCCATAATGCTGGCAGTGTAAAGAAAGTCAAAGCTAGTTGTGCTGCAGCAGCATACCTAATTAAGTGAGGGTGAGTTGGAATGGCTTACCTCAGTCTCACTTGCTTCTTCACCCTAAAGAAGAAAAGGCAGCTTTTAGTACTTAGACATCATGTAGATTATCTAAAGCCTTTTGCTTTGGAGAGCTTACTAGATCTAGGAAGTAATCAAGCTGCTAGTACAACTACCAACCAATAACTTCAAGTGATCCTGGACTTAAACCTCAGTGTTAAGTCTTACAAGAGCCCAAAAGCCAAGCCAAAGCTGAAGCAAGCTTTATTTCTATGCAGAATCCAATGCAGTTTCTTTAATTTTACTCACCTTTTTCTTCTCATCTTCTTCATTCTGTTTCATGTTATATATTAGTTGGAAGAGGTCCTTAAGATCAACAACCAGAGGCTCAGCCTGGAAAAGAATGTAGCTTTTAGGCCATGTACTACTTCTCCCTGAACTTCTACTGAAGCAAGCTGTGCAGCAAGCCAGACTTTCCTAAGTGGTGCAACAGTAAGGTTGAGACAACAGGAAAAGCAAGATTTTAAAAGGACTGTCTAGCCTCCACAGAAGAGAGCTGATACAGAATCCAAGGGTAATGGGGCACAGCCAGCTTGTAACTGTTGTTAACTCCACAGGGAAAGTGGCTGTATATGTGCTAAACCTGCTGTGTTTTTGCTAAAAAGCTTGTAGCACAAGACTTCCTTAGTGCATGGCAAATCCTAATCAGATTTCCTCAAAAGTGCAAAGCTTATCCAAGCTCTCTGGTACTCTCATGAGAGGAAAAACATTATGAATCCGTCTGTTTTCTATGAACTCCAACACTGAACCTGGAGAAAGCTTCTATACCCAATACTACATCTATTTTAAACAGGATGCAAATAGTAAATCAGCAAGACAAGCATAAGGTAAGATTATCATCACCTCAAATGCATACAGTAGACACCTGCATTAAATGGTATCTGCATCAGGATGAAAACTTAGTGTGAATTAGAAAGGCACTGCATTCCCTGCACACCCATTAACGTGAATGTTTTGAGTGGTTGCTGAGATGGTGGCATGTTCAGCTATACCAATTTAGAACTTTTGCTTGAGGCATACAGCAGTTGTGTCAGTGCCTATGATAGGACAACTCCCCTTGTTCAGCCACTGCCTTTGGCTCAAGCAGAGAATCTGTTGAACAGATCTCACTGTTTGTATCTGAGCATCATCCTCTCAATCAAGGTATTTAGACATGCAACTGCAGGAAAAGCCATTTCAAGGGTTATCAACTTTGACAAACAGTACAGCTGCAGCAGTCTAGAGCTGCACAAGTCCTTACTTCTCAGCTAGACAAGTCTGTGTCAAAAACGACTAGCAGCAAGTCAAGAGCTATCTACAGCTTGGCTAAGCTTGTAGGCTGGCAAGAAGCACCCCATGGTGAAAAGCTCTAAGAGAAGACTCCACTCCAGAGCACACACAGAAGGCTTTTGTACTTAATCGACAATTCCAGTGAAATCAATACAACACAGGACTCTTATAAACTAATAAAACAGGCTTAGGAGAGGGTGTTACAGTTGTTACTAAAGTAGTAACATGCTCCAACAAGAAGCCCCTCAGTCCCATCTGTAGTGGGTCTGAAGTTGCCAACAGCTTCTCCAGGAGGGCATGTAGGAAGAAATTACTAGCTTTGAAGTCTTGGCTCATCAGGTCATTATAATGACTATTATAAAGACATTATAATGACAAGCTAATAAATGATAAATATCTAACTTAAGTTCAGGTCATTTAGAATTACTGCTGAGTATTATGCAGTTTCCTAAGTAGCTTGTTTCCAGTGCTGCTTATGTACAGATTCTCTTGAGACAAACCCTGAATACAGGATTTCTGCATGGGGGAAACCTAGCACAGAAGAATTAGAATCCCTTCAAGAAGTAACTCTAGGAAGACCAGACCTGCCATTCACTCACCCCAGAAACACTATTGCAATTGAGTAAGTCTGTTTTCACTGCTGCACAAGACAAAGCAACATGACAACTAGACTAGTGGAGTTCTAACATCATCCCTGTTAATTCCAAGTGAAGCTCTGCCTATCTGACTCAAGAACTAGCATTCTCACTGACAGCAACAGGCCACTGTACTGGAAAGCCCATGATAATGGCTCTGTTCATCTCACTAATGATTTCCATGGTGCATGGACATTTCAAGCAAGGTTAATCACAGTAAGCAAGGCTACTTCAGTGTTTTTATTCCACAGACTACAGAGAAGCTGAACAAGGTAGAAGCCTCCGGCGATACGTTCAATTCCTACTGCCCGCCTCTAGGAGGGGAGTCCATCCACCTGGGCTGGTACTCCCCTATACCTACCTCATAGGGCTACCAGTAAAACACGACACCCTTACCACATGTTAAGTGTTTACACAATAGCATTATTCATAGCAAGTGGAAAAGGGTTTCTGATCCATACCTGTTGTGCTGTTTTTATGGCAAAAAATTGGTGCTGGCCTTCTCCTCCACATATGTAGCCAAAAGCACGATTGTCTGTTACATCCCGAGCAATAAAGGAGATTTTATTTACTGGATGGTCATATTCTATGACCTAGAATTGGAAAAAAAACACCTATCTGTTTAAATTGTTGGAGATATAATAGTTGCTCTTATCTGTAGTTATAATGACTGAGACTGTTAGAAGGGTTCAGTTCAAGACTCAGATTTATCAGCTTTTGACTAACCACAATAGGATGTGGCAGGAGGCTTCAGCATTACAACTCATTTCACAAACCCATTTTAGTATGTGGAAGGGGGGCATGATGCCATTAAGAAATCTAGTTCAGATTGGTCTACCTTCCAAGCACCTCATTTGCTTTAAGAATCACAGCAAGAGGATAAGTCATATCTTACCCCAGTTCTCTCATCTATTATCTTGATACCAGAGAGGGATATGTTCACCCAGATCTTCTGTTTGTGTTGACCCTGGGAACGGGAGGCCACTGCCATTCCCTAAAGAGGATGAATATCAAAGTATTGATGAGACTTGTGTCAGATTGAGCTTTAACTTGTTTCCTTACATTCCTCTTGAGCCCATGGCTATGAATGTACTAGCACTAATCTAGTTATTCCTATATAGCTGTACAGTTAGAGCAGCATTCCTCTTGCAACATATGCCTTACTAGGTTTGAAGTGATACCTCAGAACTAGATTGTGTTTCATGTGTAAATATTTTAGAGCTTTAAAACTTATCTTAGCTCACAAAACTGCTGCAGTAGCAGCATGTTTACCAGCCTTCCTGGCCTGACTGAAGCTATGCGAGTGTTCTGCACCCCAGAAGTAATCATCTTTGCTGCTGCAGGGTCTCATTTATTCTTTGGTTTATCTGATCTCTTGGTGTCACTACTGCCGCAGGATGCCAACTTGTGCTTTGAGGTCTGTTAAATTGCACAGAGTTCCCCCCTCCCCATCCAAAACCCAAGCTCACTATTTGTGATCAAGTTCATACTATTAGCATCCATATTGGATGCCTGTAAGAGACTTAAAGGAGCGGTCCCAAGCTATTAGAGGAATAATGTTCTTTGAGCAAAGGCTTACAGCTTTAGAAGTAACATCCGACTAGGATGGTGCTGTTATTAGTGTGTGTTACCATTAAGCTGTTACTTTGGCACAACTTCAAATACCGTTTGATCTGCTTTCTGAAGGCTACCCAGAAGTTGTTCCTTACATGCCAGCTCAAGCCCTTACCTTCAGCTTCATCATTGAATCTTGACTCATTTTGTCTCCTCTTGCCTCTGGGACATCATCAATGCCAATCAGTTTAGCTTTGTATCTTACACCATCACCTTTGAATCTGGCCAAGAGAGATTCATCTGTCTTTTCTAGCCCTGGAAGCAGAGAAAAGTTGTTTGTTTGTTGGTGTTTGGGTTTTGTGGGTTTTTTTGTTTGTTTGTTTTAGTTTGGGGGTTTGTTTTGTTTGGTTGTTTTTTGTTTGTTTTCTTAAGAAAGAAATGTCTATATTGTGACTTTGAGATCTTTGAAAAATTATATTATATAAGTACATATTAAAACTGTCCCTTGAGTATAGCTGACTAACAACCCATAGTCCTAGTACTGTGTGCACTGCAAGAAAGTTACTCTTTAAGGTCACAGTGCTCTTGCAGAATCTGGCCTCTGTTCAAAGAGTGGAGCCCAGTGCTTAATGTTTGGGAACTTCAGAACAATTGTTTGCCATATAAAAGACTGAAATATTTATAGGCAACAGCCAATTAGATATAAAGTGCTAAGCAAAAACACCAAGCAGAGGTGGTACTTTCCATGGCCATAGAAGATGCTCAATAAGCCTTTCTGATGCTAGCTCCTCATTCTGGCGTAGTCAGATCTCTTCTTGTTGTGCAAGAACCTCCTAGTTCCTGCGCTAGAACTTTCTATCAGCATCACCATTTCTACAAGTCCTGGTACCCCCATCCCTGTAATCACTTGGGATTTTAGCTGATTTACTTTTTCTGCTGTTCCTGCTACTTCTCAGAATTGCTTGTTTTTCTTCCCTGCATGCTCAACATACTCTGAGTGTGTACCTAGGTATCTATTTCTGTATGAGGTAATTCTATTTACATGACCTAATCTATCAAAACATTTATTATCTGATCTACAGTAATTCTCACAAAATGAGCTTTCTAGCTTCTCTGGACTAGAAGCTGTATCTGTGTCTAGCATATCACTCCCTCTCTGGAAGTAGGGGAAGAAGCAAGTTCAGGTTCAGATTGACAGCTACCTGGATGATCCTGGATCTGGTCACCTCCTCAGGGAGGCTTTCACTGCTCTGGGCTTTTGGTGACTTGCCAGGCTCAACAAATAAGTCATTTAACAAGTGCAACTGAGAGCTTTATAACTTAAAGCTAAAAAAACCAACAAACCTTTCAAGGTAAAAGCTTGCCTTCTGGTTAGATTTATTTTACTAGCTTATTTACTCAGTCTTCCAGTCGGCTTGAAATCTCAGAGTTAACTATGCTGTGAGAGTGATCTTAGTTTTAGGCAAGTGCAAAAGATTAGGGACACTGACTAGAGGTGTTCTAGAGGTAAGCATTTCTTACCTTTCTTTTTTTCCTTCTTTGAATGTTGTGCTTTTGGTGGAGCCTGTTGCTCAGGCTGGCTGGCTGTAGTTTCAGCTTCAGTGGACATGATGGGATGGTCGTCAGCTATGCTTGCTGTAGTTTTTAAAAATCCAAGTAACAATCAGTAAACAGACACAGTATTTTACCTTGAAGAAGAAATATTCTTATTAAACCTGTTTAGTCCAGTTTTGTTCTGCTGAACACTGAAAGTTTTAGTAGTGATCATATAGGAAGTCTGACTCACTGACTATTCATCTCAGGCTACAGAGAGCATGAAGTTATGGCCACTAGGTGATGAACAGTCACCTCAGTAATACCTAATCAGTAGACCACACTGACCTAATTCCACAGGCTGTACTTGCATCACCCTGTTTTAATCTGTCAATCTTTAGCTTTTTACCCTTTAAAGCTATTTATAGAACCTCAGACATTTGCTCTCTTCTTCAGCGCTGCCAGCTGCATCTCTGTAGAGGATAGGAGGGAATGCAAGAAACATTTGCTAGGTTCTCTTCCAAACACCCATGAAGATGGCACCAGAACACCTCAAAGAAACCAGTAGATCTTATTCATGTTTCTATAACTAGCAGAAGTCTGAGGTTATACCACCCAACAGGTAAAAGCAAATAAATTCCTTGGGCTGCAGACAGACCATTCCAGCAAAAATAAACACAACAAAACCCCAAACCAAACCCTACACCCTTAACAGTAATCAAGTAACCTGAGGGTTTTAAAAAAAAAACACCTGCAAGTTAATAGAAATTGTTGACTAGTATGACTTGACTTGTAACTCTATGCTATGAGACCCTTTTGCCTCTGAGATGCAAGATACATTTAAAAAATAATCTGCAATCACCATGTTTTGTTCCTACACAGCTGAAGCATTGATTCACACTTACCAAATACAGGGACTCGTATTGTCTTTATAGAGTTCTGAACATCATCTATACCTGGCCAGAAAGAACTGGGCATTCACTTCTGCTACAGAAAACATTCTATGAATCTTCTGTCTGGAGTACTGGAGTGGCTTCAGTTACTGCTTTGAATTTTAGGGTGACAAATGAAGCCAAGAGTTTGTTTAGATGATTAAGTAGCTGGGCTACCCTCTACTAGTAATTCCCCCTATATCCAGGCAAGCAGCCACAGACCAAGCCACCCCTATTATCCAGCACACCATTTGAGACATAAGTGCTGAAGCATTCCACGTCCTCTAGCATTAGAGGTTTGTAATTCTTAATAACCTATTCCTCATTTGCCTTAGTCACAGCTAATGATTTATCCATTACTTGGAAGTTACTTTCAGGGTTTTGCTCTCACTCCTGCCTTCCCCTCTTCCCTCAATTCATTGCTAAGTCAATAGCTATAGACTGACTCATCCAGCTTGCTACTAACAGTGTAATGGATGTCAATGCTTAACTGATTCTTAACCTAGGAAGAACACAAATTCCTAGGTCTTAAAGAGAGAATTTCACCCTGAAGGCCTCCATTTCCATTTAGCTAGAAGGAAGGCCTTTAGGGAACTAGCTGTTAATATAAGTAAAGTTAGATCTAGCTGCTTACCAGATACTTTGTGAATTGCATTTAGCATTGCTCAAGTAAATCAGAGATAAAAGTGCTCATGGGAGAGATCTCTGGCAGCTATACCTGTTCTCCTCTGTAAGCAACTTACCTGGCCACAGCTAAGGAACATTTGATGCAAGGGAACAAAGGTGTTGCTGTGAAAATTTCAAGTGGTTCTGAGTAGAACTAGATGTCAGAGGAAGAGTTGATATAGCAACCCATGGTTATTTAGGAAATGTTATCACTAGAAGAGTGGCTTGCATGCCCATTCTGACAAAGGAGCAATGGGGAAACTATTACAGCCAAGAGGGATTTTGCAGGATACTTGCACCAGTGCTAAAAAGGAGTGTGCCCACTGAAAACCACACATTAGGCAGGTAAAATGAAGCCAGCTGAATTCTACTCTAAAACTAGATTAGCTTGCCTGATGGTAGTTTTTTTGGGTAGAGATAGTCTTTAGACTTCAGCATAATGAGCTTCTCCCTGGATTTATCAAGTCCTTCAGAAACAGGGAGGAAGGAAAGACAAAGTTAAGGTTGAATCATTAGTTAAACACCCACCCGCATCTGGAAGGTTACTGTTTAGAGAACAGAAGGAAAAGGCCTGGAGAAGAACAGAGCTAAGACATGCTCTCTAGGAGTCGTGTCACACCTTTAGGACACTGCCCAGCTCCATCCTGGAAAGGAGAAACAACAACCTCAAGACACTGAGTCCCACCTCTCAGTAATTCTGCTTCCCCAATTTAATTGGTAGAGCTACACTCAGCTCTGGTGTTATACAACCACAGTAAGTATCTCAGTCTGAAGTAAAGTTAAGAGGCAATAACAAGCAAATAACCTAGGGAGGAGCAAATATGCACAAGCAAGACCTCACTTCAGCAACTGTAAAGTGGTAGAAATCCAGATGGGCAGTTGCCATCCTTAGACTCTAGGCTGTCTCCATCCTATGGAAGCCAGACCACTTATTTGTATAGAGCCCCAAGGTGGAGGAAGATGGGCAGGGGTACACACAAGTCTGGCTGAACCCTCACAAATACCCCATCTTACTGTGGAGAAGCTCATTCTCAATGATAACAATGCAATTTGAGAAGGTTAGTGAGGGCTTTCTGGACAGCTTACAGGACATACTCTCCTATCTGAGGTCTGGCACAGCTCATCTCACCTGCTGAGAGTTCACAGTACATGACAGTTATTTATCGTACCTTTGGAGAACCCAATGTCTTTGGGAATCATATCTCTGGAGCAAGAGAACTGGCACAACTAAGAATGCAAGAATAGACAAAGGCTGCCTAATACATGTTCATATTTTAACTACTTCTTGACATCGTAGTTAAGCCACAAGACTAGCACAAAACTGCCTCAGGCTTTACCTTAAAATTTCACCAGAGTGGGGAGCAACATTATGTAGCTTGAGCTAGCAGTAATCTAGTCTGCTTGCAGTACAAGAGTCTCAGCCACAACTAAATTTGGCTTCTGCACTTTAGACACAAGTTAAAGCTGTGAAAGGTCTTTGTCGCACTTAAGTTTGGCTTATCTTAATGGAAAATGCTGGTGTGCTCTACATGCAAATAACTAAAATGAAGCTAAAGTCTTCTGTTTGTAGTTCTTGCTTGGAAGCTTCCTTTCACAGTACTCAGTCCCTTAGTATTTCCTTACTCAGACTGCAGGAGTAAGGCAACAAGAGTCTAGAACTGTTCTATTACACTTGAATTCTGAGTCCACCTGAAAAGAGCCATCTAGCAGTATGGCAGGGTTAGAGATGCATGTGCTTTTATGCAAGGACACTATGCCATTATAACTGAAGACGTGACTGAAGAACATGATCATTCCCACAGCAGCTATGTCACCAGACTGTTAAATGATGCCTTTTGAACCTTCTCCATGTAGATAAGTCCATTGCTATCACCACAGCTTAATTACTCTCTATGCGATTGTATGGCCCATTTTAACTACTATTCTAAACGCAGTATTCCAAAAGTTTTAGACTGCAGATTTATGGATGTTGCTACCCTGGGACAAGTGTCCCAAACCCTTGCCTGTATCAGTAGATACACACCACATTTTGCCCACCCACTTTTCAATTTACTCCGGAAAGGGCTTGTTAAAATACCACTAATAGTATCTTCCTTTTTTGCTATATGGACTATCCTGTGAAGAGCAAGTACTGACCACTCCTTGGGGAAAGGCCATTTCAGGCCCTCAACGTATAGGCCTTGACATGAACAGTTACGTACTGTTTCAAGTCAGGCAATTCTCCATTCAAGCATTGTACTTAATTTTCCACACATCTACCCTGGGAAAGTCAGTCTTAAGACTTCGGGCGTACTGTGCTCTTGGTGTCTTCTCTGAACTCCCTGCAAGGAGAACTGTTGTTAGTGACAAGTTGTCCTTGAAATACCTGTTTCTTAGCAAGACTTGAAGCACATGCCAAACAATTTTGTTAAGCAACATTTAGTTTCCCTTAAGAGATGCTTTCACAATTATTCCTTATTTGAGCAACATGGTAGCTACCCTTAGTGATTATATTTTTGTCCTGTGCACAGGGGATTAAGAATATTCATTATGGCTGTAGTCTGTCATGGGATTTAAAGACTGGACAATAACCCTCAACCAACAGACGGGCTTTTCCCCTCAAAGATAATTGCTTCAGTGTTGATGAAAGCTTGCCTGAGAGGAGGTTAGGGACACTGAAAAAGTCAGAGGCAAGGCAGATAAACTAAACATATGCTCAGCAGTCTAATACTTTGTCCTTTTCACAGGCTGTGCTCCTTCTTTGTCCCTTGATTCTGCAAGTACATGATTCAGCTTAAAGAGTTATTGCATGTAAATATTAACCTCAAATTAGAATCTGAGAGGCCAGGAGAAGACAAGAGAAGCTTTTACTGCCAACTGCAATATAGCCTGTTAGGATGAAGTTGTAACCAGAAGCACAGCAATAGTTCAAGTGCTGAACATGCTTCCAAGGCAGGTTGTTCCCTCCTCCATACCTTCTTGAAGAGTTAGTCAAGTTCTTCTTGTTAGAAGGCTGTGTCAGGACCTGCACAATGTATCCTTAGAAATATCTCTAGCCATCAAGTTCTTGACAGAAAAGCTGTTTTCAGAAGGCTGGTAAACAAGCTATCCACTTGAGTAAATTCAAGACTTCAGTTTCGCAGGCTGAGGAAATAGACTAAAGGCTAAACAGCAATACAATGACTAGCAAGAGTTAAAATTGTAAATCCAGATACATTTACCAACAATGGAGTACCCTGACTAGCAGCATTCTACCCACATTAGACATATAATAGTGCATTTGTGTGAGCCCCTGTATGACTGACTTACATTAGCATCTAACAAATCCCTATGCGCATAACTGACTATCACATTTTCTGCCTAGTTCCTGCTGCAATGGTAGTGCCCCAAGTAGCCTTGAGAAGCACTAGGCATGCATTAATAAATCAGAAACGTGGATGTACTATTCAGACTTTTGCCTTTTAAACAGGGTCATTCATGCCAAGGAGTCAAATAAAATATCAGCTTAAGTGTTGTGTTTCATTACTAGAACACCCATTGCTTTAGCATCTGACAGTGTCTAAGAGTTCAAGTTGAAT